GCGAGGCTCAAAGGCCTCGATACGCCCTACTGGGCCCTATTTTCAGTACAGTCGGCCGCCCTAAGTGAAGGCAGGCTCGACCAAGGCCTACAGGCCCATTTTTGGGGTCACCACGCAAAAGCGCTAGTTGGTTGAGAGCCCCCAGGCTCAGGCTGCTTTTTTCACATGTTACTGAGGCAGGCCCTGGGCCAGATACGCAACACGGGCCGAACACAGGCTGCGGGCAGTTGGGCACGGGTAATGTTGCATACTGTAACGGTGCAGACCAGAACAAGAACCGACCTCTCAATACAAAGTACAAGATAGCGTAGCGGAAGACTTAGATACCAATGATCCGAACAATCAATATTGCAATGCAGCCCCGAACATACATCAACATCATCATTCCATGGTGTGAAGGGGTCTGGCACTCACACAGGAAGAATGCGCCAGCCCCAACCATACACAGACGAAGAAGAGGAGGGTTAGACGAAGAAGAGGGGAAGATGGGAATGCCGTCAACACCAAGTCTTCGGCACAGGCCCAAATAGTCCCTCGTCAAAATGTCTGAATCCCAATGTCGAGTCTGGATCCAATGTCGTCGAGTCTCAAGTCACAACTCTCTCTCTCTCTGTATTAGTCTGCTGATACTGAGAAGTCAGGTGGTGAGAGGGTGAAGAAGAGATGGTGGACTTAGAAGAGGAAGAAGAAGAACTCTCTCTCTCTCTCTGTGTCCAGTACTAACCTGTGAAGATGGTGCCTTGATGCAGGTACCTTGAAGATGGAGATGGAGCTATGGCGCCACAGGTAAGTACCGCTGGCCTCCGCCAGCTTTCTCTCTCCAACACTACTACTAGCAGCTACTTGCGCCCTGCGCTGAAGACTACTCCTGCAGCTATGAGTGCCCAGCGCTGAAGACTACTGCTAGCGCTAACTACTACTGCAGCGCTCCTCCTGAGTGCTGCGGCCGAATCCTGAAGACTACTCGTGCCTACTGTCCAACTACCTGCCCGTGAAGTGCATGGGAACTTCCTATGTACTACTCGGGTGCCTCCTGACTGCAGGGCGAGGCAGTCCAGGAGGCTGCTCTTGCCAATGCCGAAGGGAGTCAGGGGCTGCGGCTGCAGCTCCTGCTTGAGGCTGTCGTGGGGAACAGGCCAGAAATAGCCTGTTCCCGAAACCCTGTTTTTGTGCCTGAGTATTAGGGAAGGTCGATCTTATGAGGGCCCGAAAGTGGCCCTCCGTTTCAGGCTGAAAAGCCTCAGGGCTGAAAAGCCCTGTTTTAGGCTGAAACGACATAGGGCCTGCAGGCCCTCGTTTTTCAGTCTTTCAGGCTGAAACGACAGGGGCCTGTAAGCCCTTATTTCTAGGCTTTTAGGCTGGGAATGCGGGACGGGCCCTGCAGGCCCGTGTGGCTACGCAGTATGCCACAGGTAACCACCACAGGCCCTGGGCCTGATTCATTCGGACTGGGGCTCAGCCTCACGGGGCCTACCGGAAGCTTCTGGACCAAGGCCCAGTGTAGCAGCGGGCAGGTCACTTCCATTTAGGAAAGTGCCTGCCCCAGCACTCCTCATGCGGGCACTGGCTGCATGCTGCGCAAGCTCTGCTGCGCTATACGCTGGCCAGCGCTCACGCGCTCACGGGCGAGCTGGATGAGCAGGCAGCCATAGCCGAGCTGCGCTGCTGTATGCTGGATGGGGCGCATGGTGGTCCTTGGGTGCATGTGGCATCTGTGAGTGGGGGATCGAGGTTGTGAGAGACATACCTGGTGCTTGAGGCAAACGGCATTGGCCGAGATCTGCTCGTACTTTGGGGAGCTGTTGATGTCACCAGCGGCATTGTAGATAGGCTACATAGGATCTGCCATTTGTGGTCTGGGCGCAGAGCGTCAGATAGGATGTCGACATTGTTTCTTTGTTGATAATGATGAGACTATTCGAACATTGTCACTTACGAGCTTTTGCTGTGCTCTTATTTGGTGGGACTCATGTTGCAATTCTGCTTTTGGTTCGAGGTCACGACTATCTGGTTTCATGTGTATGATGCTGCTTGGTTTCTGAAGTTCGCTATCGCTCATTTTTCCTTGCAATCTTCTCCTCTTTCCCCAAGCATGGATAGGATCCCTAGAAAAACATCATGTGAGATGACATGCAACATGCGGTAAGTTGGAGGTAGTTGCTGATGTGACAAGTTGACATGGCACCTCTGCTGATTGATGTGGCAAGATGCCAGGCCCAGTCATACATCCAACGATCAGCTAAACATGACATTCATATTGTCGACATCAACAAGTAGTGGAGGTACTTGCTGATCGAACAATTCAACATTGCAGCTCTGCTGACGTGGCAATGTCGCCTAGGACGTCCAGCCAAAGTTTATTATTATTATTATTATTTTGAACAAGGGGCTCCAGTCTCTTCGTGGGGAGCAGCACGTGCTGGGAACCGGGCCCAGTGTCCCATATAGATCATACAAGCATTGTTAGTACTGGGGCCCTTACCCGGCTTCGGCTGAGTAAAAGTCCTTGAGGATTACCTGCTGGAAACCGGGTCCAGCGTCCCATCACTTGTGTATCTAGATGGATCTGATATTCAGATTGTCGCAATCTATGATAACAATGTTATGAATATGCTAGACTCCAACCACGCGGTTGGATAAATAAAATAAGTCGTGTCCATCTCGCTGCGGACTACTGCAGCGTCTCCTTCGCTATCGCGCCTGAGAGAACAAACAGTGCAAAGGAGCAATTCATTTGGTAGTGTCGCGGTCGCCCATAAAATTAAGAAAGCCATCATTAAGGCGAATAAAGCAATAGCTTCAGTTAAAGCAAAACCTAAAATGGGTAGGGGTCAGAGGTGAGTCTAGCAAATTGAGTCTCACGGACTTGATGGGAAGCACCTCATGATTGATTGGAAACTTTCCACAAAGCTGAAATTGATTATTGACAATGACAAAGTTCTTCTTTCAAGAAATCAAATCCAACTGCAGAAACATTAGAAGCCGACAAAAATAAGGGATGAAAATGAATAATAGAGGGGAATCAGGAGGGTTTATTAAGGGTGATGGCAGGCTTTTATGAAAAACTATGTACTTCTCATGGCCCTCTGGGGAATGACATTAGGGTAATCAGAGCAAGGGAGAAGTTCTTAAGGAGCCTAGAAGTCAGCGTCAAGCCAGAGGCAATCGCTTATCTAGACAAGGACTTCCCAATAGCAGAGATATGCAAAGCCCTAGGCTCCATGAAACCCAACAAGCGGGCCCACAGAGCCCAAATCTTTTCTGTTTTTCATTTTCGTGTACTCGGCCTCCAAGCCTGCTTCAGACCCGGTATATATAATCTCTTATATATACCTTAAAAGTTAAAGCGGTCCTCCCATGACGCTCACCCCGGGCCCAGGAGAAACCGCGGGTGGAGTTCCGCGCACAGTGCCACGAGTGAAGCGGGAGGACACTGGTTGGTGCCGCGGGCAATTCGTGTCAAAGTTTCCCGAAACGATGCTTCGGTAGGGCGGGGCATGCAGGACTGGCAAGATCGTGAATCGCGGGACCGGAGCGTTTTTTGGGTTTCGTTTTGGTCCCCCGCTGGTTGGATGACATCCAATCGAGGGCGAAAGGACGGAGTAGAAGGGGATATGGCAGCAGGACGTGGAAAGGGAGGACTCATGTAGAAAGGAGAGAAAGGATGATCTGGAAGGGAAGAAAGAAAGGATGGCTATGACGTGAAAGGGGAGAGATGAGATGACATGGAAAGGGAAGAGGGAAGGATGACGTGGAAGGGGAGGGATGATACATGGAGGAGGGTTGACGACACGACGACGGCCATCGTGAGCACGGCGATCGAGCAAGGGAAGGAGGGTGGACAGGGATGAAACTAATTTCATAGGGACGGAAGAAGGAAGTCAACTGGGGTGGAAAAAGGAGGAGGACATAGAAGGCAGTGGGGAACGACGACGTGGAAGGAGAGGAGGGAAGACTGACTCGCTTGATGTTCGGAGAGAGAGTGCAGACATCTGCTTTTGACAGCCATTTGCCAATTGCCMCCCCCCCCCCCCCCCTCCCCCCCTCCCTGTTCTGTCCATTGTGAAATGTTACAATGAAATTGCTGTTTTCTCTGCCATCCCCCCCCCTCTCCATACACTGACATGCTCTATGGTTTTCTCTCAGTACCCCCTGCTCTCCTGCGCCGCGGTTGGCTTGTTTTCCAAATGGGACTACACCTGTGAAAGGTAGTGGATCAGAGTTTCCATGACATCTGGAATTACTTATGTACAACTGGGTGCCCAGCTGCCCTGGTTACCATGGATCAAACAGACGAGGCAGTAAACTGTTTGATCTCACTGGCTATGGCTGTCGCAACTTGCCTTCTTGTCAGCACTGAACATGACACTGCTTGGCTTCTTCCCTCTCTCAACTCGTCGAATGCTGAAGAAAGAGAAATTGCGCCCTGGCCAGCTATTTCGCTGTATTATGCTCCCCATGTCCAAAAGTCTCGTTCTACTAGTCTTGTAAGGTTCAAGATATATTCTTAGCAAACAGAATTGCCATGGTAAGGTTCAAGACATATTCTTAGCAAACAGAATTGCCAACCTATGCTCCCCTGAGGCCTGCTGGCCTTAGTCTGCAAAAATCTCAATCCACTAGTCCAGGAAGGTCCAAACATACGCTCTGCAAACAGAAACTCTACTCACACATTCCAGGTTCACATCTCAAATGCAGCAAAGCAGCAAAACGACTGAGTGCCAAAACTTACTCGTCTTGGGCCAGTGTGAAGGTTCAAATCCCGCCAAAGAACAGTCATCTGCACACAGTAAAAGACAAAAAATTCGGGCAATACAAAAGGAGGAGGAGACTGGTGGTGAAAGATTCATTCTTACAGTTCACATGAAGTTACAAAACATTTAGCAGCGAAGGGAAACACCCTTAAAGGCTTAAAATGAATTTTGTGTGTTTGGATCATATGATGGGCGATTGTTGAGCATCTGTGTGTGCCTGCATGTTTGGACTGGATCAATGTCCAGGTGGTCCTCATGAAGGACTTAACTTTTCAACTAAAGAAACTCTGCAAGGATGAGGAGGAGAGGCAGATAGCAACAGAGCAGCTGACCGAGGAGCAATGGACTTCCCATGAGGCTCAAGCTCTCGGAAAGAAGAACATGGAAGTGGACAGAATTGCTGCAGGTCTTCCATGTGGGAGTGAAGGCTTCCTGTTGATGCATGCAAGGTGGAAGAAACTCGAGCGGGATTTCTTCAACGAGCGGAAAGAGTATGGTCAATGGATTCGTCAATGGTTGAAATAGTTTTTGTTTTAGTAGTGAATTCTAAGCAGAGTTGGAGTCTCTGTCTCTGTCTCTGTCTGTCTGTCTGTCTGTCTGTCTCTCTCTCTCTCTCTCTCTCTCTCTCTCTCTCTCTCTCTCTC